GAAACCGGGCCTTCTCGGCGGTGGCTCCTCGCCTCTGGAACTTACCTCCTGAGATTTGCGCAGTTTCCTCGCTGGGTATTTTTGAGAAACAACTGAAAACATGGATGTTCAAGCAGGCCTTCCCCCTTTCCAGCTAATTCCTAATTATTCTTTTTCCTTTTCTGCTATAATATACCCTGTTTCTCGCCATCTTGGGGAAAATTTATTTTATTTTTTTATTTATGTAAATTATGTTATATGATATGTTATATGTTTAATTGTTTTATAGTGTGTGTTGTAAGCCGCCTAGAGTGGTCACACTGACTAGATAGGCGGGGTATAAATGAAATGAAATGAAACGAAATGAAATGAATAAATAAATAAATGGAAAGTCCCTGGACAGGGTGGAATTGGTAAAGGTAAAGGTTCCCCTTGACAATTCATCCAGTCCTGTCCGACTCTAGGGCGGTGCTCATCTCTGTTTCCAACCCATAGAGCTAGCATTTGTCTGAAGACACTCTTCCGTGGTCACATGGCCAGTGCAACTTAGACACAGAACGCCGCTACCTTCCCACCGTGGTGGTATCTATTTATCTACTTGCATTTTTAGATGCTTTCGAACTGCTAGGTTGGCGGGAGCTGGGACAAGCGACAGGGGCTCACTCCGTCGCGTGGATTCGATCTTACGACTGCAGGTCTTCTGACCTTGCAGCACAGAGGCTTCTGCAGTTTAACCTGCAGCACCACCATATCCCACTGGAATTGGTAAAACCACTCATTAAGTATCTCATTTACCTTGAAAGCCTTATTCAGGTCACTATAAGTCAGTCCTGATCTGACAGCACATAGCACACATCCAACAATCCATATAAACCCTTTTCAAGGCCATTTCAGCAAGTTCTTATCAGCATTTCTTATTGTATTGAATTTCATTTATTAATTATCTATCATATTAATATTACTTGCTCTTCTCTGTCTTGAAACTACAACTGATACATTTCACTGAGTTACTCGACATTTTGGTGAGATACCAATCTACCCACAATTTGGGAAGGCCTTCATGTCATCTGACTGTAACTAATCTTTTTTCTGAACAAAACTGCCATTCTAATATACTTCAGCTTTTCTTCACATAGATGACCTTTTAACACATTTCATTTTGCTTGTTATCTTCCAGCTCTGCAGCTCAGGTGTGCAATGACATCTTGATTTGGTTCAGAATCTGATTTGGATATTTGGATCTGATTCTGTTTGGACTCTTTGAACTTAATAGGATTCAACTTGGACCTAAATCTGAAATGTAATTCAGAAATCTGAATATTCACATTACTCACTGATTTTATTTATTTATTTGATTTATACCCCACCCATCTGGCCTAAAAGGCCACTCTAGGCGGCTTCCAATGAATATAAACAATAATACAAAGAGTTACATAAATCATAATTATAACATGCACAATACAAAAATACAACAAAAATAAATAAGGGAGAACAAGAGGAAATCAAGGGTTAGCTGGAGGGAAGGTCTGAATATATAGCCATGGTTTTAGTTGACTTTTAAAAGTGCCCAAAGTGGGGGCCGCGCGGATCTCAGGAGGGAGATTATTCCAGAGGCGAGGAGCCATCGCTGAGAAGGCCCGGTTTCGTGTCTTTGCCTCTCTCGGCGTCAGGCTCCTCAGCCTCACCTCCTGGCTCGCACGGGTGATCCGGGTAGATCTTGATGAGAGAGGCGTTCCACTAAATATCAAGGTCCTAGACCATTTAGGGCCTTATAAGTAAGCATCAAAACTTTAAAGTCGATGCGGAAACGAATAGGCAGCCAATGCAGCATGGCCAGCGTGGGAGAAATGTGCTGGTATTTTCTTACTCCACTAACGAGTCTGGCCGCTGCATTCTGCACCACTTGAAGTTTCCGCATCAGCCTCAAAGGCAGCCCCACGTAGAGCGCATTACAGTGGTCTAATCTTGAGATTACGAGCGCGTGGACCAAGGTAGTGAGCGCCCCCGTGTCGAGACAGGGCCGCAGCCAGGTGATCCGCCAAAGGTGGAAGAAGACGGTACGGACTACTGACGCCACCTGTGTTTCCTTGGTGAGCGTCGGGTGCAGGTGTACCCCCAGGCTGCAGACCCCACTCTTCGCGGCCAGGGTCCCCCCCCCCAAATGTGAGTCACCCAAGGCGCCGACCATGGGGCCACCCACCCTCAGAACTTCCGTCTTGTCCGGGTTCAGCCTTAGCCCGTTTTCCTGCATCCATTGCAGTACGGTCTCCAGGCAGCACTGAAGAGACCGGACAGCATCGCCTGCAGTTGGTGAAAAGATGTAGAGCTGGGTGTCATCAGCATATTGATGACCCGATGCTCCACACCCCCTGATGACCCCACCCAGCGGTCTCATGTAGATATTAAACAGCATCGGGGAGATAATCGACGCCTGTGGAACCCCACAATTGAGACTCCACGGGGCCGAGACACTCTCCCCAAGCTCTGGGGATGGTCCTCGAAGAAGGACCGGAGCCAGGCAAGCGCCAGGCCTCCAATTCCCAGCTCAGAGAGCCTCCCCAGGAGGATACCGTGGTTGATGGTATCGAAGGCCGCTGAGATGTCAAGAAGGACTAACAGAGAAGTTTTTCCCATCAGCCTCCCTCAACAGGTCATTGTACAGGGTGACCAATGCCGTCTCTGTACCGTGCCGTGGCCTGAAGCCCAACTGAAACGGATCCAGGGCATCTGTTTCATCCAAGTGGGCCTGAAGCTGGTCGGCTACCACCCTCTCCACCACTTTGCTCATGAAAGAATACCCCCATATCTACTTTTGACCAACATTTATCTTTCTCTCTCTCTTTTTTTCCTGGATTACCTCCAGTTTTTCCCCCCTAAAGAATCTGCTGAAGAGCACATGTTGCCCAGCCAATTGCTGAGGCTACTGCTAAATCAGCAACAAAACCTGATTCCATCTTGGTAGATAAGTCACCCTAAAACTTCTTACAAGAGTAACACACTGACACCAGAGACTGCTCCAGGAACAGAAATACAGAAATAAAACTTTATACTAAGCACAATACAAATTGCCACCTAATCCTAAAAACACATTTAAAATAAGCAGACTGAACAGTAGTAGTACAGTATGTTAGCTAAGTGAGTTCAGAATACTGCTGCAGTGCACCATCTGGTGGCTGAAGACTGACACTATATTAGGTTACTCTACAGTTGGGAAACACCCCAGGAAAGTCAACAGGCAAAGTTTTGTAACCCGATGAATAAAGTGTATAGATATTTTGGACAAAGCCACTTTTCAGAATATATTTTTCCAGTTCCTGCATGGAAACTGGAAAAATTTAAACATCCTGCACAGATTGTCATAATTCAAGAATGTGTTGTGTTCTTTGTAAAATCATATGGTGATTCAAAATATTCATTCATTAACTCAGTCATTCACTTGTTTCCTGAAAAATCCCCAGACCTGCCCTCACCATACAAGATTTAAAAATGATCAGCTAAATTTTAAGCTTGCATGCCATCTTCAAAGCTACCATTTTGCATGTACATACATGCCATGCAAGATACTGGGATTTCACAAGCTTGAAGTCTACCCACCTCTAACATATAGAGAGTATTACCTATGAAGTGTTAGGTTTTTCTTATACAGAAAGACTGCATCATTAGATGATTTTTTTTGAGGAAGTGTTTGTGGAATTTGGCATTTAAAATACATGTATTGCTCATGGTTATAAATTTCACTTCTTCTCTGGACATTCAAAATAAAAATCAGGAGTGACTATGTTAGATCCTGTTCTGCAGGGGGAAACTGACTGCCTCCTCCCATACTACTCTGCCTGCTCATTAACAAGAGGAAATACTCTCCTCTGTGTCTCTGCTACATTGGATGTGCAGCAACCTTCTCAAGGCTGTACCAGTATTACAGAACACATCCAACCATAAAATTTGGCAGGACTCCTCTTGTGCTCTCTTTCACCAATCAGCCACTACATAAACATTACTGTGTGTCATCAAGTTGCTTCTGACTTATTGTGATGAAATAGTTTACCAGCACCACCTTCCAGTGAGCTTTCAGGGCTGAGAAGAGATTTGAACCCAGGTATCCTGAATCCTACCTGACTCACAATGCTATATTGGCTCACACATACATACATTTTATACAAATAGACTTTTCTCTTGCAATATATTATTATGGTCAACGTACTGTTTATCTGCTTACCTGTCTCAGTTAAATTTAACATTTGATAGATTTGATAGTGAGGTTTAAGTATTGTGCAGCTTTGTGCAACCATTGTACATGTATGACGAGGATGCAGTGTGATTTCTTTTAAATTAAGTGCTCATACCTTAGCAGCTACAATGCTCAGACCCATCCCATTTTGCTTCTTTAATGTCACAGTGATGATCTCTGGCTCTTTCCTTAAGGGTTGAGCCTGCAGGGAAAAAAATAGATCAGACTCCAAAATCCACAATACTGATGGGCATAGAAGGGAAGAAGCAAGAAACAAGCACTCCTACAGATGGTATAGGAATGCATGAGTTGCAGTCCAGCGCTATCTAGAAGTCTACATGTTTTCCATCCCCGATATATACTGGTCAACAAGAAATATTTTTAAAAAATATTTTAACAGAATTACAGATTATCTGCTCCTTGTCAATTATCTTTGTTGTTGTTGTTTAGTCATTAAGTCATGTCCGACTCTTCGTGAACCCATGGACCAGAGCACGCCAGGCCCTCCTGTCTTCCACTGCCTCCCGGAGTTGAGTCAAATTCATGTTGGTAGCTTCAGTGACACTGTCCAACCATCTTGTCCTCTTCCATCCCCTTCTCCTCTTGACTTCACACTCTCCTAACATCAGGGTCTTTTCCATGGAGTCTTCTCTTCTTATCAGATGGCCAAGGTATTGGAGCCTCGGCTTCAGGATCTGTCCTTCCAGTAAGCACTCAGGGTTGATTTCCTGCAGAATGGATAGATTTGTTCTCTTTGCAGTCCAAGGGACTCTCAAGAGTCTCCTCCAGCACGATAGTTCAAAAGCATCAATTCTTCGGCAGTAGGCCTTCTTTATAGTCCAACTCTCACTTCCATACATCGCTAGCTTTGACTATGCGGACCTTTGTCAGCAAGGTGATGTCTCTGCTTTTTTAAGATGCTGCCTAGGTTTGTCATCACTTTCCTCCCAAGAAGCAGGTGTCTTTTAATTCTGTGGCTGATTTTACCATCTGCAGTGATCATGGAGCCCAAGAAAGTAAAATCTGACACTGCCTCCATTTCTTCCCCTTCTATTTGCCAGGAAGTGGCAAATTATTATCTTAAAATATTATCTTACATATTGCCAAATTAGATACCGTTTCCCTAAAAATAAGACCTAACCTGAAAATAAGCCGTAGTATGATTTTTATAGTGCTCGTAATATAGGCCCTACCCCAAAAATAAGCCATAGTTAAGTGAAACCCCGCCCTTCCACCATTGTGCAGCAACCAGGAGAAGATGACATGACTGTATTTGAATAAATGTAGATTGTTGTACGTGAGCAAAGTAAAACATCCCCAGAAAATAAGCCGTAAAGCATTTTTGGAGCAAAAATTAATATAAGACCCTGTCTTGTAATCGGGGAAACATGGTAACAAAAGAACAACAACCCCTTTTAGTAGTCTCAGTGTATATAGTATGCTACAAATCTAATTAATTCACCTACATTTTTCACTCTCTGCACTACCTGCTTAAGCAACAGACCAGTGGAAAATTGCTGTCTATTTTTTAGTTTAGAACTATTGCATGCCACTAAACTCCCACATGTGTTTTCTCCCACAGTGGACACAAGATGAGTACTTACCAGATCAGCATTCTCTTGTAGTAGATGACTTTCATAATCTGCACCTTCAAAATATATTGTCCATGTTCCTGGTGAACGTGGATGGGGTGCCAGTCTACAGAAACCTAATCAGAGGAAAAAGACATAGATTCCATATGATTAAAAAAGTGAAAGAAGAAATTTGGAGAATCTAACTGAACACCAACAATGTCGCATGAACAGGTACACATTATTCAATAGAAAAGATATTATATATTCGCGAAGGCTTTCACGGCCGGGATCTAATGGTTGTTCTGGGTTTTTCGGGCTCTTTGGCTGTGTTCTGAAGGTTGTTCTTCCTAACGTTTCGCCAGTCTCTGTGGCCGGCATCTTCAGAGGACAGCAACCGGTTCTCTGGTGTAGTTGGCTTGGGAGTGCAGTATTTATGGCTGTGAGATAGGCTTTTGTCTTTTTCCTGTAGGTGGGAGATTAGTGTGTACTGTTGTGGGTGTATTGTTGTGCTAAGGGGAAGAGATTATCTGTTCCTGTGGTTGATGGGTGTCATTAGCTGGTCTTTTGTGTGTAGTGATCCCCTGTCCTTGTGGGTAGAGTTTGTTGACCTTTTGCACATAGTATGTTTGATAGCTGGGAGCCAAGTTTTGTTGTTGTTTTACTTTCCTCTTTTTTGTTGAAACTGTGCTTGTGGATTTCAATGGCTTCCCTGTGCAGTCTGACGTAATGATTGCTGGTGTTATCCAGTATTTCAGTATTTTGAAATAGAATTTCATGTCCAGTTTGTTTCAGGGCATGTTCAGCTACTGCAGATTTTTCTGGTT